TGGAAATTTTCAAGCTTTCAACATTCTGGAATTCATAAATTTAGGGGATAGACATGGCTTGCATGCTAAAGGTCTTTTATTTTCATTTTTGAAGTAAAATGGTTTCTTTGCCTTAAAAATTTTCAAACATACTATTGGTTTGAACCCAAAATCTGCTGAATTTCAAAAATTTTGTAAAGAAAATGTGTGTTCAACATTTTTCTCATGTGTGCCATTTTTGCGCAATTTATTTTTAGCTTGATGATCTTCTCTGATGGGTTTTGGAATGCATTACTTGTTATATGCATATCATTACATTGTCCAATTATTAAACATTCAAGATATTTTAACCCTTGTGCAGGAAAGTTGGAATCTTTTCGAAAATGTTGTGCCCATGGGCACTGACAATTAAAAAACTGAATTTTTGCACCAAGGCCTAAGTCAGGAAAAAGTCTAATATCTTTTCATAATACTGCAGAAAAATGTGCCTCAAAAAGAAAAGCGCATTCCTCCCTGCTGGGTGGCCTTTTCTCAGGAATTCCTTGCATATGATTAGCATTAGAGATTTTGGAATGCAAAAGGATTCACCCTTCCTGGATCCCTTCCAACTTACAAACCTGGTATGCATTTCAATAACCTTTTGTCAAACTGAAATGCCCTACTCCCCCCAAAAATCACAACTTTCTTGCAGGATGGCCAGGAACCCTCTGCAGTCCAAGGGTTAATTCCCTTTGGAATCCCTTGATTTCATCATCTGCAACATCAATGTAGTGTTTATTCATGTACAAGTACTGTACAGTATATGCTATGATCTGCATTCATTTTTGCTTGCCAAAATGAGGAAGCAGAAGAGGGGTAAATACTGAACAGCATTCAATCATTTGGTCATTACTTCCTCTTTCTTATTTTTATTTTCCAACAAATGATGTGCTCTGCTTGGAAACTTTGGAGGGAATTTAAAAAGTCACCTGGTACACAAAAAGTGATACAGTATAACAAAAAAATTTCTGTATATATGGAATTCTTTTACAACACATAAAAATTCAAGGGCACTCAATGGATTTATCCCTCAATCCCCTGAATTCCGCCACACCGTCCACAAACACTCTTTCAACATTTGCCTCATTAAGCAGGAACAACACAGCCATTTCTTCCAGCTTCAGATGAAATTCTGCCCTTAGTGAAGACGACCCGTTTGGCCCAGAGTTCACACGCCCCTGTGACACCGGCTTCAGCAGCTTCTTCTCCAGCCTTTGGTTGAGGGCAGACTCATAGTAGAAATCATGTGAATTTGTGGGATTCTTGTCCGACGGGATAAATTCATAGGCGGACACGTGGTCGCAATAATGAAGAGCAGTTATGATGGCTGATAATGGAAAAATACAACAATAAAGCATATCATAAATGAAATAAATTAATGAAAAACATTGAAATATTCTCCTATGAAAAAACACAGAAATATCTTGCAATAATCAATGTCCACAGCTGTTTGCAAGTGTGAAATTGAGCAGCAGCAATCAGAAAACATATTTTTGAATGGCACTTGGAAAATTGATGGTCTGCTGTGGAAACTAAATTCTACAAAACAAAGCTCATGCAAATTGAATTCAATTGCAGACTTTTTGGAGATTAGGAGAACAAAATATTGGAGTTATGGCTGCAATAGGTAAGATAAAACATAAGATTGGATAAAAAGACAAGAAAGACCTTCAAAAGACTACTATACTGCATATATACAGCATCCTCAAAAATGTATACATTCTTGTATTTTCATAGCTATAATGACTTGTTTGTAGTTATTTATTTCATATTCCTCCTAAGAAGAGAAAATGTATTTTACCATTGTTATCTTAACTCAGAGGTGAAATATTTCTTTGGTCAAGTCAGATAAATTAAAACACTGGTAAATACAAAATGAATATATGATATATTTCTTTGGTATTATTAATCACACTTGTATTTCCAAGATACACACTCAGGAGTCAAAACAATATATAAGAATTAAAGAAGGCTTGCTAAAACAATGCAAGTCTTCTTGAGAACAATTGCGAGAGTCTCAGTTCCAATTCTCAGGTAAGATTCTTCTAACAATTCCAGGGAAAACGCAAATATATATATAGCTTCTGGAATATTGGGATCATGGCATGTTTTTAGGATTTGGGGATGCGTATCCAGGTCTTGGAACCAGGATGTATATCTCAGGATCTAGCACAGAAATATAATCAGGAATAGAAGAAGCTGAATTTGAGAGAACAGCAATTACCATTCATAACTGTCAGCAGGAAAAGGAGCATTAAATGTGAGCCTGCAATCAAAATGGGTCATGCACACCTGAGGCAAGCAAGTGCAAAAGTCGTCAAACCAAAACAAGGAGAAAATACATGCATGGGAGAGTTTTCTTCCCATGCTCATCTGATTTTAGAAAAGAAACAAATAAGAAAAGAAACTCAAAACAAAGTGTTGAGTATTTTGTAGGATAACAACATGAACTGATGGAACAAGGAATTTTAGTTGAAATAGACAAGCATTTGATCAGAATCAATATTGATGTACAGCAAACAAATTAATCAATAATCTCACATATGATGAACTGGAATAGTTTTGTGGGAGGCTTATGTGGTGTCAATAATTTGTAAATACTCTTACATGACTCAGAATGAATAAAAACCATTAAACCAATGGGACTGCTCGTAAGGTGTGTTTTTTTTAGCACCCAGGCAGTTTTTTTAGCAATCAAGTTGAATGTAGAGTGTTAAATCCCCAAAATATCTGAAAGAAAGAGAAGATGAATGACATTTAAGTAATTAGAAGAGTGATCTCTGAAATCGTTGGACTCATGAATAGTCATACTGTACTTCTGAAAAAAACTTCAGAATATATTTTCTGAAGGATTCTGAAAAATAATTTAATTTAATATACTATATATATTAGATGTCATAATTAGACTCCCATATTCTTTTCACCACAGATGAATGATCCAAATAAAGAAAACTGCCCTCAGGACTGAAGGGACACGTTTTTTCCTATATATAGGCACAACGTTTATGGTGCTATGAAAGAAAGGAATGAATGGAAGGTTACACAATCTCAGGAACCATAGCTTCATCTTTCTGTGAAAGACCATCATCTTGCCTGAGAATGAGATGGATTCTTGGGTAGAAAGCAAATACCAAAGGGAGGTTTGGAATTGCTCGCGTTTTATAGTGAGGCATTTCATGGGAAACTCAAGTCATCTTTTATGACTCGCCTGTACATTTTTTTGAAGTTAAGCTCTCATATGTGTCCAACAGAATCACCAGATATAATCTTTATGCTTAGTTTTATGTTGCTGGTAAGTTTTAGAAGTGGGTTACAACTTACAAGTAACACTAGGGCTCCTATGAGGATTGTTCATTCCTCAAAAAAGAGGAAGAATGAGGAAAGTAATGTATTTTGGGAAAATACAGTGATAGCTCTGGTCAAATATTCGAGTCATAAGCAAACTGTTTGTGTGCAGAAGTATTTCAATTTGAATTAATTTGTTACTGTTCATCACTCACAGTTTTGAATGAAACCTATACCAAAAAAAGCAAACCACATTTGTATAAATGTTGGAATCAATGACTTGGATGAATTCCTTCCCCATGATTAAACATTCTTTAAAGTATTGCATGATAATTTGGTTGGACAACAGGGGCATTCAAATACTTCTGAATACTGCTGTAAAAATTAAATCATTTGAATCACCTGCTTTATGATTAAAGATATGTGGCATAAAAAACATTCAACATTGTGGAACAAGAAAATGTTAATTGGAATTCTGTAGGAATTTATCAAGAATTTTTCAAAGCGATACATGTCAATGAGACACCCACATGTGGACACCTTGACATGCAAAAAATTGGACCAATTGAAACTTGCTTTCCTGAAGGAATGCATAAAAAGGCAAAAAATGCATACACTGACTCAACATGTGGACATTGTGTGCTAAAATTGAAAACTATAGTTTCAGGCCAAACTACAATAAACAGAAATTTCCAATTACAAGATCTATGTATAGGAAAATTTCTTTTTAATTTCTCAGATTACCATCCATTTAGCTAATTTAAAAATTTTAATATCCATAGAGGGACTTCCTTCTCTATTTTTGACTCCAATTTTATTTCTACACAGAATGCCAACATTTCAATGTACTGTGCAGGGGTACAGTAATCAATGGCTCCAAATGTCATTATTGAGTTTAAAGGTATTGATTGAATCAGTTTCAATTGGCAGACAATTTTTTTATATTCTTGCATGGGAATCTGATGAATATTTCTTCCATAAAACACCAATTGAAAATTATAAAATCTAAGTCTAAGCAAAGACAAGACTCAATTTAGGGACAGTTTCACTTTGGGAGACTCTTGATGTACAAATTATGTCTGCATCTTGGGGTCTCATTGTATTAAAAAAAATCCAAATGGACATCACAATAAGTGGTTACAGTTACATAACATTTTCCACAATTTTTTTATACAGACTGTCCTGGAAGGTCTTCAAAACAACCCTGAACTAAAACATTCTTAAATTATCATAAAATTTGAAAAAAATGAAAATCTTTATTCTAGACTATAGAGCTCTGAAAATGAAAATTCAGCTGTTCACAAAAAAATATCTCTGAGGTTTGAATCACTGTAAAGTGATGCGTCAAGCAGTTCTCAAACATTTTTTTCTTGTATAACACTGAAAATCAACTATGCAGAGGAACTTGAATGATGCCATCAGGCAATATAATAATTTGTAATAAAACAACTTTGTGCAAACTTTTACGTAAGAACTTGTGCAACAAAACAAAGTGAGACTGACCTAAAAATGAGTGAGATGGTGGTTCCTTTGAAGTGCCATACGGATAAAACCTCTGCACTGTCTCCCACATGGCCCAGGGGAAGTCAAACTCAAACATGAAGTAGTCTTCAGATGGAAGCATTTTTCTTCTAGTCAAATAATTACCTATTCCATCTCTGTGATCACTATTTTTCTCACGATTATTCTCCCCTGGGGTGAAAACACTGAGATCCAATTTCCTCACTGAGTCTTCTGCTGTGAATTCCCAACACTGATGAAATACGGAAAATAAAAATATTGTAATAATTTCTGGTCAATAATTTACCATGAAAAGTTGAATAAGATGAAATAATCGGCTGACGAAGGCTTTATTGCGAGGTCAAAACACCCTAATTTTATTTTTCAGATAATTCTCGGCCAATTTCCTGATATATAAAGTCCCATCAAACTTGAGTTTCCTAAAGATTCGGAACCTTTTGGGTCCAACTTTACTCAGTCCGAGTTGAAGGCCCTTGCATTATTTAAATTGGGGTTGAATTTTAAAACGACCTGCTCCAGAAAAATGCAAATTATTTTCTTTATGCTCTCCACAAGGAATCGATCATCTTTATGGATGTAGAACATGATCAATGCACAGTTATTCTGTATATGGCCAAAATTTAATTTCTTTGATTATATCCTATGCCCAGCTATAGTAAAGCAAAATTCCCTAAACGAATAAAATATTCAAACCAATTTTTTTGTCCCTTCAAATTCTATATGCGCTAACAAATGCCATAAAAATGAGTGACTATAGTCACAATATACTAAAAAAGGAATTCCGTTATTCAAAATAAACTCCTTTCCATTAAAAAACATTTCATCATGCTGAATTCCCGAAACTTTGGAAATTTGATCCAAGCTAAAATGTCCTAATTTTCTTGAATCCATTTTCAATCAATCTAAAATAAATAAAAAAAGTGATGGAAAGGACTATGTCATAAAAAATCTGTTCTAACTGGAAAAAATCATTATATTGAAAAGCTTACTGTAGAATTAACCTCCCCCCCTGCAAAACCATTTTATGAATTTTTGTGTGCATCAAAGCATAGATTATTGAGGCCTTGCAAATTCGAAAAAAATTATCCCATAAAATTTCAAAGTTTGTCCTATACAAATTTTTCTTCAAATTTTCAATTTTTAATCACAGGAAAAGCTTTGAAACTTCCAGTAAAAAAATTGGCATGAATTTCAAAGAGTTTAAAATTTCTCTGAATCTTGACGAGAGAAAACCTATGTTTTTATCAGAAAATTTCAACTGCTGTTGTTCTCCAAAAATTTCAGGTAAAGATAATAGAATCTCATCCATACTTTTGATACATATATTATGCTGAAAATTTCCTGCAGACCAGCAAAAAACCTCTGCAGACTGGCACTGCTGGTCTGTGGACCATAGGTTGGGGTACTTGGGGAACACTGCCCTAAACAATTCCATCAGAGAAAAAAAATTATTCCAGGGACTATCTGGTGAAGAAGAAAAATCTTTTATCCTGAATATTGAATAAAAGAATTCATACATAGGAATAGTGTCTGTATCCGCAGCAGCAGTGATCCCAGGTCAGCAAAGTCGTCTGATGTTTGTCCAGGGCCAAGAATGTTTCTGCTGCATCCTCCACCAACAACTCGGTGTACAAATTGCTGAAAAATCTCAGCGTGGCCGGCCTTGACCCAACAAAGTCTTCAAATCCTCTTGTCGGGGCATCATTCAATCTCACCACAGCCTGATGCTTATCTGCATGGAACCAGTTATAATTATGACAAAACACCACAGGGTATACCGTAAAAGCAACAAGAGAGAAAACTTGAATCTTCATCCCCTGAAAAGCAGCAAAAAAAAAGTTTCAGTGCCTCCAGTCTCCCGAAAGTTTTTTAAATATGGAAAATTACAATAGAATATCACCAATAAATCGGAACCTTTCTAAAATAATAGACATATTTATAAATTTAAATCAAATATTCAATGAATCAAGATGGAAAAGATCTCAATTATTTATTTAGCAGCCACAATCAGTCATACCCTAATTAGATGCCCATCAGTGATATACAACTGCTTTTTTTTCACAGCTGTTTTTATAGGGATAAATGGGGTGCAGGACCAATAATCTAACAAGCAGATTTCTTGTTGTCTTCAAGAGGGTGCACACATTCCCAAAATGCAGGAGATGGGGGTGAGAAGTGGAAAGAAGTTAATAATAATATAGCAAAAGGATGTTGCTCCACTCCCAAGTTCCAACTCCTATGATGAAAACTTGCTGAGGAGCCAACTGCATGATGGCTACTGTGACCCCCTGCATGAAAATTTCTTTGAAATCCCACCTCCTAAAAAATTTGGAAATGTTTGCAATCTCTTGAAGGCAGCATGAAGTTTTCCAATTAAATTATTGGTTCTGCACTCCATTTATCTCTGAAAACGGCTGTGGCTTAGTGGATGAAGATGCCTGAAAAAATGTTTTGGAAAGTTTTAATTCAAGACTTTATTGTGATCATGTTGTGGCCTCTTGGACAATAAAACAGCAAACCCTTTGAAAGGTGTTTGAAAAAGCTCTCAGTTGGTACTTTTTCATTGCCACAGCTTGATTTGCTGCCAATAAGGTATTTCAAGCAAAAATTGGTTAATTTTTTGCCCCACCCCTGTATATATCATCACTGCAAAAACCACATAATTTCATAAAATGAAAACTTGAAGCTTGTTTCTTCAATCAATCAGCACAGCAAGAATTTGGGGAGCAAAACAGCACTTATTGGGAGTTGAAAAGCAATATTGCTGAGGAGCCAACTGCATGATGGCTACTGTGACCCCCTGCATGAAAATTTCTTTGAAATCCCACCTCCTAAAAAATTTGGAAATGTTTGCAATCTCTTGAAGGCAGCATGAAGTTTTCCAATTAATATTATTGGTTCTGCACTCCATTTATCTCTGAAAATGGCTGTGGCTTAGTGGATGAAGATGCCTGAAAAAATGTTTTGGAAAGTTTTAATTCAAGACTTTATTGTGATCATGTTGTGGCCCCTTGGACAATAAAACAGCAAACCTTTTGAAAGGTGTTTGAAAAAGCTCTCAGTTGGTACTTTTTCATTGCCACAGCTTGATTTGCTGTCAATAAGGTATTTCAAGCAAAAATTGGTTAATTTTTTGCCCCACCCCTCTATATATCATCACTGCAAAAACCACATAATTTCATAAAATGAAAACTTGAAGCTTGTTTCTTCAATCAATCAGCACAGCAAGAATTTGGGGAGCAAAACAGCACTTATTGGGAGTTGAAAAGCAATAATTTGATAAATTATTGACTTGTCCAGAGAAGCTCCAAGTTTGACACATTCTTGTAAGTGTACAGTATTTTTAGTAATCCAACTCACTTCAGGGTGCATGCTGCATTCTTTGTCATAGATCATGCATTTTTAAGATAAATTTCAAGTCAATAAAAGATAATGAGAAGTGGTAAAAAAGCAGTTACACCGTTATGTCCCATTCTTACATAATACGCATACTATATACAGTACATTTAGCCCAGGTGAAGTTGGAAACATATGCTTTAAAAAATTTGACACCATATTAACCTCAAAAGCAGTCATCTTAGCACTCAAACTTTTTGTTTCAAAAGATTAAACATTTCTGGAAACGGTTTTTGCTCGAATATTCATTCCTTGCTAAAAAAAAAAAAAAAACTTGCCTATTTCTTCACCATGGCGTCCACGTTTCATCGCCCCAGAATTCGAAACAATTGCGCAACTTTTAAATTTTTTCCCATGCAGGAATTGTCTTGCTGGTAAGTATTTCCGAGCAAATGGAGCCAAGTCAAAAGCTTTGGAAGAACTTGACAAAAACCTGGAATAATGCGCAAAAGAATGGCATATGAGTAACAGGAAGAAAGAATGTCCAGAATATTCCGAGCCCATTTTTCATTATTATTTTGAATGAAAGCAATTCTCAAAAGCATTCTGTATACGCAGCAACAACAATACAATTTTTGAGCTTTTAGCATGCAATTTGAGCCTCACCTCAGAAATAAATCCCCCTCATTAAAAATTTGGAAAGGAAAGAAAAGAATTTTGTTGCTCACACCGGAATTCTCTTGCGTAAGTGACAAATCAACCTCTTTTTTGGAATCTTGAACATCTGGCGGATTTCAGTTGTGTTCCAAAATGAGCTCATGAATTGTTTTGGGTCTCCACTCACTGCAGAAAAAAAAATCCAATGGAGAATAATGACACAATGTGCAGAAATAAAACAGGTTTTACAAGATGGTCCTGATACAGTTTATATAAACCATTTCAGTTCCCCTGTCTAAGCATAAGGTATGGTCTTCCACATGGAAGAAAAAAAGGCAAAATGGATCACTGAATACCTTTTAGTGATGGATGACCTTTTAAAATGTACCGTATATCCAACCTTTTAATTTGTATTCAATGCCAACATATTGATGCAGTGTTATATTTTTGCTCTAAATCAGGGGTATTGTAAATAAATCTCAAGTAACATGGAGAATAAATTAAAAGACACACCTCAATTGTTAAAGTGGGAATTCAGGGGAAAAGCCTCCCTTGTGTAAGATGTTATTGTTGCTTTGGAAATTCACTGGAAAAACCTAAAGAGTGATCATTTTTTTGAAACAATGCAGATCATCAATGATCAATTTCAGAATTGTTCATGTTTTGAAATACTACAGATCAATGATCAATTTCAGAATTGATCACTTGTTAAAATAATGCAGAATGGATCCAAGGTTAAAACATTCTTTTCATTGATTAAAATTTTGATGCCCAAATCAGATGGATCTTTTAATTTTTTTCTACTCAACTAAATAGACTGCCATCTCTGTGCCATGGCTTAATTTTGGGTAGGTGTTTCATGCTGGGATGTACTGTTCATTTGTTCATAGACTGCTGATGCAGCTCAAACATTTTTTAATGCTTTTTGATCCTGTAATTAATTTTTTAATGCTCAAGTGAGCATCAGTGTTATGTTCTTGAATATGGGTAATTATTTTTCCACAGCCACATGCACAAAGACATGGAAAGAGCCGCACACAGAGATGTGACCAAATACTTGGAAAATAATTGGTTTTTTGTACATAGTGTGCTGAAAATTGAAATAGGCAATAGAGCTAAAATACAGTATTAGAGTGGCGCCAGGAAAATGGCAGAACTTCAAGAAAGTCAGGGATCTGATGGGACCAAGTGCAACCTTGGGTTCCCACAAGATTCAGAATTCTTGGAGAAATCCTTTTAGAAGGATAATACACTCAGGGACAAAACTGTCATAGAAAGGAAATTGTGTAAATATCAAATCATTTTCTGTATTGATCATCAGTTGCTTCTGTGCTGTCTTGCACAAAAGACTGCTTGCAAAACTGCTGTTGCAAAAGATTTGCCAAAATCCAAAAATACAGTCAACCCCTGTCTAACAGACTTGATTCATGCAAGGGATGAGTCTGTTAGACGAAAAGTCCTTTACACAAATTCAATTACAGTGGCCCCCCGCCTAACAGACCTCCTGTGTAAGGGATTTTCGCCAAACAGACCAGCTCTGCAAGCAGTTTTTGGTGGATTTTGTCTGTTGGGCGGGAGGAAAAACTGCTTGCAGAGCTGGTCTGTTTAGCACAAATCCCTTACACGGAAGGTCTGTTAGGTGGGGGGCCACTGTATATCAACGTTACACTAGAGTGTCAAGCACCCCGGCTGCAGTCTGGCTGATTGTTGTTTGAAACTTCATTTCAAACTCTCTCAAAAAGAATACAAGTCAAGAAATGTATAAACCAATTCCATTTCCAAAACAGTGATTGAAATTATTTCACATTGATCTATGCTGTAATTCTGTCCTACTTGTGATGATGTCATCCATTTCTGGAGTCTCCCCTGTGGCCCTCATTTTCCTCATCTTCTCATCCAGGTCTGGAGAGTGATGGAGTCTGTTCAAGGAATCCATCACATCTCTTTGAAGCCAACTGCGACCAACTAACACTCTAAACAATGCCACCAGGACCACTTGAAATGCAGCCACAAGCACCAGTTTCTTCACACTAACTGTTCTTCTCAAGAAACGCTTCAATTCTCGCAAAAGGCTCTTCTCTTCCACACGTTTCAGACGCTTAGAAATTCTAACCGTGTTTGTCTTTCTTCCCATTTTGTTATTTCCGCTCCAGGACCAAACTCGGCGAGGGAATGGAAAAGGAATCGTTTTGAAAACGTGGGATTATCGGGAAGATGCATCCCGGAGAATTGGATGTGGGAAAAGTGGAGACTTTGAACAAATATGCTCAAAAAACAAAGTTCCCTTTTCCTTTTTTCCCTGGCAGATTTATGTGTCTGGAAGATTTATTAGCTTCAGAAGTTGAGATGAAATCATAGATCCTTCAGGGTAAATCCAAGATTTTGCTACAGAAGTTGTTTTCTCTCAAGAATAATGTATTTAGAACTGATGAGTATACAGGGTGGACCAAAAAAAGCACCAATGTTCAACTTGCATTAAATCAGTAGAAAGTTGCGTTATGACAATGAATAAAACACCAAATGTGTTCCCTTCTAAATGGTATACAGTTTTATGGTCCCAAGTGAGAAGTGACACAGTGGGGTCACTAAAAACTCTTGAATGCAAAACTTCCAAAAAAAGGGTTGTCAAGCAACTTCATCCATTAAGCTGCTGTTTTCAGAGCTTGTTTTAAAGGGATAAATGGGCTGCAGGACCAGCAGTAGCCTTCAGGAGGGTACACACATTTTTAAAATCTTGGAGATAGGGGTGAGAAGTGAAAAAGCAGAGTAGTGGGATGTTGCTTCACTCCAAAATCTCAATGCAAGCTTGCTATAGATGACAGCCTCATGGTTCCTATGACCACCTACATGGAAATGTGTTTGTGATAAGTCCATTTCTCCAAATTGGTTTCACAGCTTAGCCCTTTAGCAGCAGAGGTGGGAAATATTTCCAGAATTTGGTGCCATGCAGCATCAGAAAAAAAATCTTGGTCAGGTTAGGAGAGCCATAGTCAGGAAAAATTCCAATTTTTTTTTAATTTTCTGCATGAAAAATTGCTAAACAAATTCCCTGCTGAATGGGAGGCATTTTTCCAGCATTTCTTCTATATGAATAGTATTGCACAGGTCCTATTAAAATAGCTTGAACTTTTCCAGATTTTTCCTGACTTCAGTTATCCAGTCAAGGGTGCCTTTTAGTGACCTTTAGTCACACCAAAATATGCAAGCCAGCAAAAATATCCCAGCTCTGCCACACAATCAAAATCAAACCACCACTGCCCAAGCATTAAGAAAAATGCTTTTCAGGTGGATGATGTGCATGCAAAATGGTGCATTTTCATCTGCAGGCATTAATTTTTAATTGATATTTTGATAATTGAAGTTTTTTGAGGACTTTTGCTTGTGATGAGCAGGAAATAGTAGCTTATTGAAAATTGAACAATGATGAAAAAACTGATGGCTGCTGTTTCTTGTGACTTTGTTGTAACTTGGGACCATGAAACTACACACCATTTATAAGGGAATTAACCAAGCTCTCATATGGTGTTTTTTCTTTGCTGCAGCTCAACTTGCTACCAACCTTTTTCAAAAAAAAAGATCAGTCCACTTTCTTTGTCTCACCCTTTATAATTCAAGTCTGCTATGCTGCTCAGGATATTCAATCAATAATGTGAAGAAGGCCTTCTTGAAATTAAAAGGACCACATTCAAGCATCATGAGAAACATGATGGCATGCAAAACTAAACCAAGTATAATCTTGTAACAAATAGCCACTGACACCTTGAAACGCCTTCATAAAACAAAAATGCCCATTCTTTCAAGTTCAATGCACTCAAATAACATGCTGGCAATATTATTTCAGATACCTATGAGACTGTTTGGCATAAACAATTATTTCTTTTAAGGAGATTGCATTTCTGCAGGGATAAACCAGTGAATATGATGCACAAACTTCTTTGAGGAAGATTTGACTTCATGCTTTTTTGAAGACCCACCAGAACCACATCCCACATTTTACTGAATTATAACTCACTCAAACATTTATAATTTGTTCTGTATGTATAAATACATGGGAGTGGCCATTAAAACAAGATTCCAAAGCAGATTAAGTTGATTTAAATCCTTATTATTGATGTGAATCCGAACTGACAAAACGGTTTCAATAAGTCGGAAAGCGTAATGGAATTCTGGATGTAACCTTGCCGACAGTTGCATGAATTGAACTTGATGAACAACTACAGCACGTGTTGTACATGCCTCTGTTGAGGCCATTGTTCGGCAACATCTGGTCCAGATTCCAAGACTATACATATACAAGGCCAAGTGCATCCTTCACAATTACGTGCACAATCAAGATTATATTCCTTGACGACTGATTAAAAAATCAATCTTTGACAAGCTGTCAGAATAAGATAAGACCGCCTTGCCCTTTCCTCATGCTATTTCAGCAATTCCATCATGCAGTCTTCCAACTACTGATGGGGCATGTATTTTAGGTGCCAAAAAAAAGAAGAAAGATGGCCAAGTTAGAGCTACTTTATCAGAGTTCTGAATTCCTTTTATATGAAGTAAAAGAAAGGACTTGCACAATTTTGAAAAATGGTATTTCTGCAATCCATGAAATTTTTACCCTGGAGAACTGCATTGACACAAAATGTCCAAGATTGACAAAATTAAGAAAAATTAAATTCAACGCAAAGCATGCAATTAAATGCTCTCTTGAAGCTTGAAGGACATTTGAAATAATGGAGGCAACAAGTTTTGATAATAAATATAAGTAAATAAATATACGGTATTTACTTGAGTACCATGCACCCTTGAGTAAGGTGCGCAGAGGGCTTTTTCAGTTGAAAATGTTGCAAAAATCTTATCCCAGAGTAAGATGCCCACCCCAATGTTTAGTGAATCTAAAACCGTAAAATTTCAAAAACAAAAACAAAAAATTTGACTTCAGGTGTGAATTGAACAAAAATATGACCAATTTTCAACTTTTTCAATGCAAAAATATTTTCTTGTTATATTTGTTCCAAATTTATCCATTATAATTAAGTATAATGCACACATAACTTCCTAAAACTTCTTGAAAATTGTGTACCTGCTTATGACGCGCACCCCTGTTTTTCTTCTGAAATTTGGGGAAAAGGGTGCAAGTTGTACTCAAGTAAATATAACTGAATTTGCATAACAGACTTTTCACATAAGAAACTAGTATGTTGCACAAATCAAGTCTGTTGTGCAGGGGTTGAGTGTAGTCTTCAGCAAAAAATCCCATACAAAATCCAGATACTCATCTTACCTCCCAAGACTTGTGTTCCTCATTTAAATACAGTATCTTTCTCCAAACCATGCGATCATTGTGGGCCAGAATCTGAAAACGTGAAATCTCATTCTAATTTTCCAAAACTTTTAAAAACAAATAAGGTCACATTCAGAACCCAGATTGGATGAACTATAGAGCCAATAATTTGAATTAAAACACTATCTTATCAAACCACGCTGGAATTATTCAGAATTGTGGAAACCTTGGCCACCAAAAAGAAAATAGAAGGAAAAGCCTCATCCCATTAGGCAAATTCCTTCACACACAATTGAATTCCCACAGCCGTGAAAAAGGAAACGTCGTTTTTAGTCCCAAGGGTTTCCACCTCACTGTTAATAAGTTAATTACCCTCCAGACCAAAGAGGGGAGAAACGTAAAACAAGGGAAGGGAATTCTTAGAATATAGCCATAGCCTTGAAAACTGTTGCTAACAGACAACCGCATTTTTACTTTTTCTTTCGCGGTTGGGCTTTGATAACTCATTTTAATTTATTTTTTTTAGAAAATGTGGGTCCAGATTGGCGTGACTTGGAATGTCCCAGCCCTGTTGCGGGTGAGCACTGACTTAATTGCGGTTTTGAATTACATTCATACTATTGACAAGAAAGAAACGCGCGAAATAAGAAAGAAATGTACATAGAATCATCCACCCACGGAAAATATATATTTTATTCATGCCCTCCGAAGTTTCACACGAAAAATAAAGTAGTTTAGAATTTTCAAAGGTTATAATACTTGAAAAAAATTCCTATTTTTCGTTTGGAACTGGACCAAATGCAAATCGTGTAAAATTGCGGTTCGCGGCCTTTGCATAAATTTCGCCCTATAAACGCACGCAATACGTTTTGCAGGACCAAAAGGTTATTCAAGATGGAGTCGGAATTCTGGAAATTGCCAATTGAATGTAATTTTTTCGTGTTCTAAATGTAACGTTATATGGCCCACCCCATGAGAATTCTCTGAAAGTTTTTTTGTGGTTATTGAATATATCACAGAAATATTTTGAATTGAAGATATGGCTAATTCTGAAATCCCTAGTCAAGGACTCTTTGTTAGAACTGCAGTCTTGAACATTTAAGAATTTTACAAAATTGCCAGCCCAGGATTGTTCAATTACATGCAGGTATATTACCTCACAATTTGACCTCCTGCAATTTAATGCTTGGGTCAGCTCTCAATTTGACCTCTAGTGCGCAATTCAACCCATAAAGAGATATGAAACATCAAATTCTATGTATAAAAATATGCCATTTGAGAATGTCTTGCAATTTGACAGCTTTGCAATTCAACCCTAGTCCAGCAGCAGATAAGGGTTGAATTGCAAGGTACAGTACCACCTGTAATAAAATTGTGCATTTGAGTAAACTGTAATGTTACAGTTCTTAGCAGCAAAAATATTGTTAAAATGCATTGTTGTCAGTTTAAATGGTCATTTTAGAGAGTTCTGGGATGAATGGTTTTTTTGAAACTATAGCTAGAAAATAGCTATACTCCAAAAGTACTTGTAAGGTTTTACCAGTAAGAATTAGATTAATCAAGC